CCCATAGTTTACAGAATTTTCAACATAAAAAATAATATAATTGGGCAAGAGGAACAAGTAAGAGTTTTATAAGAATATTTTTCTTTGCTTGATACATGAAATTACCAAAAGAATTTATGGTTTAATTGCAAGGGATTTCAAGGTTGTTGGATAACTTAATTTATTTCATATCCCCGCATGCAAGGATTAGGGGGAGATATTATTCATTTCGTTATTATATGTAATCCTTGCACATGAATTATATGATATATTGATGGTCAATAGTACATACATTAGCATTAATATCAATGTCAATAATTTATTTAATAAAAGAAGCCACATAATGTTACATATTTACAAATGATACTATCCTGAAGATGGATGTAAATAAATGAATGTCATTGATCATTACTAGTTGTAAATGCTCCAATTAAAATTATTGTCCCAGAGGACAACATCGGTTACTAATGAAACCTAAAGCACGGCTGAAGCGTTGTTGTCCAATAGATTAAAAAAATAATAAGAACTTTCGGAAAAAGGAATGGAGCAACTATATATTGACAATGACAAATTTGAGGAAATGATAAATTCCATTATATTTCTAGAATAAAATAATTGTTAGTAAAATCAATATGTCTTATGATTATATAAAAGACTCTAAAAGAGTATGAAATATCCAACAAGATTAACATGTATCAAGATTATAGTCAAAACTCCAGCAGAGTATATATAAGTAATTATTGGATAAAATATTAGTTGATTGTCTTGCTTATTGTATAAAGAAACACATGTTGGTGTTCTAATATCACATCACATTCATGGCCATGCATGAAGTAAGTTTAATAAAGTGATCACTAGTGTTGGAAAACTGACCAAAAATCAAATTTTGAGAAGTGATTGGATGTGATAATTAAATTAGGGCATCCGAGTTTAATAATTACCCATTATGGAAACCTGATATTTCATTTGATAATGTGATGACGCTCTCTTAATGTTAAATATATGAAATGAATTGAATGGCAAGACATAACATTGAGATTGAGCCATATTTGGATTGTGATTCATAATAATTTGTATATATGAAAAATTTCAAGGGTTAACAAGTTTTGATTTCTTATATAAAAGAGTAATAGGTGACCAGAAGTTCACCAAAATAACTTATATATTATTGTCAACTATCAAGTGACTAGAAGCTCACCAAATACATTAAGTCTTTAAAGATCTAGAAGATCACCAACTAGTAAAATTAAAAGCAAGTGATTTATGCTTGTATAACAATTCTTTTGATTGGGGCTATAATACGTCAGCACATAAGAAAAAGAAAAAGAAGGAAATTCAGCTGCACAACATATGTCTCCCCATTGATGTTGAATTATTGATCTCCTGAAGAGAACAAATTGTGAAAGATTTAATAATAAATACATATGTGTTATGCAATGTATAATTAATGAAGAAATAATTTAAAATTGCTCTCTAGAAGAGATAAAAGCTTGTTAATATTACTAGTCTGAGAGATAAATTTTGTTGATTATGATCCTCCTATGAAATGAATTTTATTGCAAATTTGTATACTAAGTTGGTGAAGAACTGTGATGCCCCTATATATGAGATATTTTTCCAACTTAGGGGGAGAATTGGAGTAAGTTGGCAAAAAATTAATTAAACTGATGATCCCTATATAAATAATGGTAATTTGAAATGTTTTCTAGCCAACTTTCGTCCATATGCTATCAAGATATGTTGCACATTGAGATAAACCTTGTCAATTGTATATACTTGAATCACTACACCTGAAGTGTAGATTGTATAATCGGTTCCAAAATAAAGATGTAATATATGGCAAGATAGTGCAGTTGACACTTTTAATAGTGTAATAGTATATTAATACCAGGTGTATGAAATACGTTTGAAGTTGTGTAGATATCTGAATTATTACAATAGATGGCCTATGATGTAAGAAAAATTATGTTGGTACCATGAAAAATGTATTCAGATATCATTGTCAAAATAACATGCAAATTAAAATTGTACCTTGAGGAATTATATGATGATACCGGTATATGATAGAACCGATAAATAATGCATATGCATGATATAATGGACTAGTGAATAAGGGATTTGGAATATATGTCCATTTTAATGTCGACATAATGATAATAATTAAAGTTTATCATGGACCAGAAGTCCAATAAAATACGGATTTTAAAATCCACACTGTACAGTGTCTTGCATTATTTAGAGTCTTATGTATGTTCATATACATGTGTGAGTCATAGGTTAATGGATTATTCATTGCATATATTTAAAGTTGTTAGATGCATTACTCATTATATATTTTGTTTTCTATATCTCATATTGATGCATTAGTTCTATATAATAATTGTAGTATATGTGAATGTCTGTTCAAAATATATATAGTATGGCGTATTTGTAACTTTGAAGGAAAATTACAAAGAAATATTTATATTCCAATGGGCTTATAGTTGTGATGAAATTATTGAAAACGTCGATTTAATAACATGTTATGAATTATGTAAGAAAAGTTCCTGAATAACTTATATACCTTGACATATTTAAATAAGCAGCCCTACAGATTTTTGATATTACAATTATCAAACTCTTGAAAATTTATGTGACTACATCATTGACATCTCAACCTGAAGTTTGAGTATATAAGAGTTAGTGAGATTTACTATTTGTATTCGTAGAAAAATTATCGTGTAGTTAATTATGAAACTTCTAAAGAAACGGGATACTTATGCGCGAGACTGTTTCTTATGGTCCCGAAGAACCATGATTAATATAATGTATATAATTGCATATGTTATATTATAATTCATATGAGATTGAAGAACAACATTAATAATGTCAAGTTTTGTCATCAAATGATTATTAATGAATGTTTGATCAAATAATAATTATCAATTTCTATTATTAACGGCTTCCATAAGAAGTCATAATCGCATAAGTTTAATTTTTAAATCAACTATTAAACATAGATTTGAAATAATTATATTAGAGATAAACACATGTATGGTGAAATGAAGACACTTCACATGTTCACGTGAAAACTTGAAGAATTGAAGATGCAACTTCAGCTTAGGAGAGTCGAAGATCAACGAATGATACTTTACTTACTACATATGAGAAGATATCCAAACATATTGGATTCATCGTTGCGGCACTAGAAGATCTCAAGTTATGTATTCATCAAGGGGAGAAAATACGCGTTGCACTCTTTTTTCCCTTGACCATGTTTTTGTCCCAAATTGGGTTTTCTTGGTAAGGTTTTTAATGAGGCAGCATTTCGAGCTTATTAAGAAAAGTTATGTACTCGTTTTCCTTCACTATGTTTTTATCCCACATGGTTTTTCATAGTAAGGTTTTGATGAGGCACAATCTTCAATAATAGACATCCAAGAGGGAGTGTTATGAAATATTTGTGGATATCCATTATCCTCCTTTGTATCATTGCGGAAAAATCTAGATCTAGGGTTTATATTCTTATCCAATCAAACCCTAATATATTGTATGTATATATACACCTTATCATATGGAATAATATACACAGATTTAGGATCTCTTTCAATCTCTCATCTTTCCCCTTATTTCACAACAAAGATTTTTATTTTTTAAAATTAAATTATGTCAATGAAAAAACAAAAAAATAAAAATAGTGAGTCATACTCCCTAAACTTTTGCTGACTACGCTAAGTTTCTCGACTTTTTAGTCATAAACACGAAGAATAGTAATTGAGGGATCAAAACTACACAAATGAAAGTTAAAAGACTAAGGCCTTGCCTGGATTGAGAGGAGCTGTTAGGGGGTAATGATTAGGAGGGAAATTATTAGGGTGGACTAATTTAAGGAGGTAACAATTGAGAGGGACTAATTTGAAGCAAGTTTGGTAAAAGGTAACTTATTACAAGATATAAGTATTCTTACGTTTGGTATTATTAATATAGAGCACTATTGCTATGCTTCCACTCAAACCATCAATTTTATTTTATTTTTGTTTTTTTTTATTTTTTTTGAACAAATCAAACTGTCAAATATCATATACAACAATCATGAAATTAATTCCCAAAATTATGAAGCAATTAGTTACAACATGAAAAAATCATTAAATCAAATTAACCCAATAAAATCATGAAATTCTTTCAAAAAAAAAATAAAATAAAATCATGAAATAACTTCCAAAATTATAAAAAAAAAATAAAAAAATAAAAAATAAAAAATAAAAAGATCATGAAATAAAAGTCATTTTTAAAAAAAAAAAAAGCAAATAAAAGTCTGATTAACAAACATGAAATTACTCCCATTATTATTAACCCCTTTCAATCTTTCATACCATAACACTTGCATTTTTTTTTTTCATTAACAAATAAATAATCAGTAAAAAACTTAATTTTTTTTTTAAATGGATCACTAAAAATCGTATAATGCAGCAATACAACCATGATTTTTACTAACAATTGAATAATATAGGTACTACTAAGTTCTGAGAAACAATTATTCAATTAAAAAAAACAAAAAAAACTGCAAAACAAAAATAAAAAAATAAAAATAAATTAAGCACTAAAATCTACAATGAATTGTTAAACATAAATTATTACCCAATCTAATAATAAAATCAGCAAATATTGCATGCACACTTCATGAATGAATGAATTTCATAGATCTGCAATTACAAGAGGTCGAAGAGGAGAGAGGATGAAGCATTACCCTGAGATTCATTACTCTAGGGGGGGCCAGAGTAAAACATTACCCTCTATTTGAGAGGGAAAAAATCGGGCCTAATTTTTGAGCCCAATCCAGGTATACAATTTTAGCCCATAAAATTTACCCCTTGAATTATTCCGCCCCATTACACTCAATCCACGAGGCCCTAAAAGTACATAAATACACAAGTTCACGAATCGTATTATACTCTACTCAAGTATTGACTATTGCGATGGATGCAGTATTATCAATTTATCAGTACAGGAAAGCGGAAAAAGCCGTGTTAGATATGGTCCAAATTAAAAGGAACTCATCTGTCATCAGGAAATTAAAAGGAATATCGTCAAACATAATCGAATAACATTTGTGAGCCTCTTTCATCTCATCTCATCTGTGATCAACATCAAACCTCATCCGATACCATGACATCAGGTATGGTGGCAGTGATGTCATCATCAATTGCAACACGTCCTCTCTTCACTGCTATTATGCCCAACAACAACTTCAACAACAACAGCTCACTCACACTCACTAATACTAAGTGTAGAACAAGAAGACTATCATCAATATGCTGTGAGGTGGCTTTGAGATCTGATTCCGTTGACCATGATGAAGATTTGAAGACAAATTTGGACAAAGTGGGTTGTAAGATTAAGGTGAAAAGGCCACTAAAAGTGTACCATGTTCCCAAATTGCCAGAGGTTGAATTGACACCTGATATGGTTGGTGTTGTTAAGCAGTACGTTGGGTTTTGGAAAGGAAAGCGTATTTCCCCTAATTATCCTTTCAAAGTTGAGTTCTTTATCGATGTCCCTGGCCGCGGTTCTGTTAAACTCTTTGCTCATTTGAGGGAAGATGAATTCGATATCGTTTAATATAATTTCACTTATGTATGTATCAGCCTGTTTGTCAGTTGTATTGATGAATTGGAATACACTCTCCTTTTTATCATAACTTCTAATTAGCCACTGTTATTAGGGTTTTATTTTTTTTGCTATGATTGCTTTGTCTGTTGATGACTATATGGAATAATCACTTCTTTTGATTCATGTAGTCGACCCCCTTATGAGATTAAGGCTTTGATTGATTGATTGATTGCTTTGTCTATTGAATTGAATATGAAAGTTTATATGTTTTCAATGGAATTTGTGGGGAACTGAATGGGATGTGAAAATAACTAGGTTTTATGTAAGTACAGCACAAAATGTGAATTTTAGGGCTTGTGAGAGTGATGTACACATAATTATTTTGTATAAGCGAGCTCTCGAGTTTAAGGTTACAATTTAGGGACAATGTTTTGTCAATATTGCTAGAAATTAAGGAATAAGGATTATGGCTGTGGTAGTTCATGTATGTGCTGCCATGAGATTTTGCTTGGTCCTATAGTGCAGTTGTTCCAGTTCTATGTTAATCAGAATTTAGGCTAAACAATCAAGTGTCGGACACAGAGATAGTATGAATACTTTGCATGATTTTGGTTCAGAATGAACTGTTGAACTATCAGTCTATCATACTGATGTCCAAGTGTTGAGTACCTGACATAGAGAATTGGGTACTTGAGGTAAAAAGAAGAGTCTGACATGCTTTTTAGAAGTTTGGGATTCCCTTTCTGTCTGGTTATATGTTGACAGTGTAATATGAACTAGACAACTAAATCTGTCCAGAGGGAGTATATAATAAGCCAACTGTGGCTCAGTATCGGTAGATATGTGGTACGTTAGGAGTACTTTTTGATTTTCTGGAGATTGAATTCTACTGTATGTGATCTGTGTTAAACAGTCAGTTGTTAACTATCCTCTGGACCAGTTCTTAGCTTCACCTGTTGAGTGCTGTACTTCGGGAATAATGGTGCGTGTTGCCATCCTGAACTTTTGTGTTCAAGGTTCTTCTTCATGTGTGTGTTGTTTAACAAAGAGGAATATTAAAGGGTGTAAAATCTCCTAGCTTGTGTTGAAATCTATGTGAAAAGCTGAGAAATCTGATGAAATCTCAACTCCTGTTGACTTATTTGGATAACTTCTGATTTTTTTTTTCAAGCGTTCTTCCCTGACCCCTTTTGAAAATTTCTATACCCTTTATTTGGCAAATGTCAAGCGGAATAAAAGGGGTACAGTATGGCTCAAGAGATATCCAGCAGGTAACATATGTGTTTCTATGTAAGCAATATAACGCATAATTATTCAGGATATCATACGATTTAAAGGACGCTTAGCTTTTCTAGTTGTTCAGTCACATACTGACATCATTATAAGCTAAAATAGTGCTTCTTGAAGTCTCTAGTTATGATTTTTATATTAGTGCTGACCCCAAGTAGTTTAAGCGGTGAACTACTTCGGTCTTCTTTGTTTCTTCAAAATCTATTGTGCATTTCTGATATACTTGGTGCACAATGTTGTGTGCTTGCAGGCACTGATTTTTTTAGTGTGTACTCCTCATGCGCTGTTTATGCACTGCAGGCACCGTTTTTGTTAGTGTGCACACCTCATGAGCTATTTATGCACTGCAGGCACCATTTTTGTTAGTGTACACACCCCATGAGCTGGTTATGTGCACCTCATTTACCGACATTCGTGCTGCACATAGGTCCATGCAGTTGCCCAAATTTCGTGGCACTGTGATCATATGAAATAATTATGTGTACTTGAAGAGGAAAAGGTGGTGGGATTATGAGCCTCCTAGAGATGCTGGTTGGGGCTGGAAATAGATGCGCATGGTCAAATATATCTTCAAAAATGGCTATAATGAAAATAATTTGATAGCTGGTGAAAATAAGCCATACACATAGCTAGTGCCTACGCCTGCTTGTGCCGGCAATACCTAATATTGAGCTGGTTTGGAATAAGTATAATCTACCCATGCACAATTTCATCTTTTGGTTAATCATGTTGGGGAGAATTAACACAGGGCAAAGATTAGCCCGATATAATATCTGTGCGGACAATTCATGTCTTTTTTTTTTGGCAGTGCTTCTTAGACAGTTCCTCGTTTGTTCTTTGAGTGTGATTACTCTCAAAAATTTTGCAGTCCTTACCTGAATTGGCTAAAATCTATTATTAATAGGTTCGAGACTTTGAGAGATGCGCAAACAGCCTGTTGACCCTTGACAAAGGATGGTTCAGGAAAAAAAGTCAGTCAATCATTTAAATGTGCAGTCAGCTCATCATAGCCTCGGTGTACAGCAGACTGGAATAACACTCTGTTTCTTTCTGTCATGGATGTTAAAAGGCTCAGGAACACTGTTAAATCCAGGATTTTATCTATCTTCTAGACAGTGTAAGTTGCTGATAGTAGATGGCTATAAAATTTGTTAGCTTGTGGTTGTTTAATTAGTTTGGATTTGAGTATCTAGTTTTTGTTGTTGTTTGTTCTTTTAGATGCTAGGTGGCCTGGTCTGAATTTGTGTAACTATACATAATTGGTTCCTTATAAGCAAAATTCTTTCCCGTGCTGATAAAAACAGAGAGATAATGCCGTGTAAAATAAAGATTGGCGTCAAAATACTTCCTCAGCAGTTACTCGTACATGTGGCTTGGCATTTGGCGTGCAATATCATTGTAACTCTCTCCTTATGGCCAAAGTTTTTGGTGAACAAGACAGGGCATTTCATGCTTTTTATGAAAATAAATTTGTAGAGCACAATAAATCTGAGAATAGTAGGTACTGAAAATACAAACTTTGATGCTTAGTAGTCATTCTGGTGGGGGTATTGTACATGGTATTAAAAAAAAATTATATTTCTTAATCATATATTATAGGCAAATAGCAGAATACAATTGTTAAATTATTTGCAAGCTTAAGCTTTTTGCATGGTTCAGTGGAATTGAGTTCTGTTGAGTATCTTTCATTCTGTCATAAGGAATTGTTTTAAGTCGTAGTATGATCCTACTTCAGATATAGCTGATATGTATACCAGTTGATGATCAAGGAAAGTACTTTTTGGATTATATGGTGATGTTGATTTCATCTATAGCAAGCTCCACTACTTTTGTAATGGTTTTGGGATCTTGTAATGGTTTTAGTGAAGAGAATCCGTCATGATCAATACAAAAGTTTGTTGGTTCTTGAAGTCTACAACAAGTATCTACTTATTTCTTACTAAAAAGTAAATACATATTGATGCTTTTGCACTTTTGATGAGTAGTTCTCGTATTTCGTCACCATGTGCAGTGCTTGCAGCCTAAGACTTGGCATCAGTTTGAATTATTTGGTTACATTGTTGCTCTTTGCCTATGTTCAATGTTGTATTGGTCTGTCTGAGATTGGGTATAAGGGTACTTATGTTAAATTATGCAATTCAGACTGTACAGCATATCACTCTGGTCTTATCTTAAAATTTTAATCACTCAAAATCTATTTGCTGGTTGTAGGACTGCAAGAGTTTAACTTCTTGACCAGTGAGAGCTTCCTTGTCCCAGAGATGATTTTCCACCCTGCGATTTTAGGTTTAGTACGTTTCATATTGCTTTGACATAACACAGTAGACAGTTCAATGGTTTGTCTTGAAGTATGTACCGATTAAATTGTCCGCACATATATTATATCGGGGTAATCTTTTCCTTTCTAATCTCTCCATTGTTGGAGAGATTAAATTATTATAATTGAATCCCTTCATTTCTCTCCCCTGCAATTCCGTCATTTATTATTCAATTGATAGATAATCAATTCCTCTAGCCATTTACCTTCCCTTCCTTTCCCTCAATTTTCTTCCATCCAAACAAAGTGTTAAAGTTATTTTTTATTATTGAGAGATAGAGAGAGAGAGATAGAGAGATAAAGAGGGAGGAGGGAAGGGGAGGGACCAAGGGACAGAGTCACAAAGATCACATTTATAAGATTAGTTTATAATAATTTATTCTATAAACATGTAGGAATAGTTAAAAATTATTAATTTGGAAAGAATGTGTGAATGAAAGTTGTTTTGAGGTTTCTTGATGTGTCAAGCGGGAGAATACTCCAAGACTAGATCTGCTGGCGCCTGCACTTGCAACAAATGAAAGCTCCGGTTGTTTAGAGTTCTGCCTCTGACAATCAAGTAACTACCGAAGTTGAGTAAACTGCAGACAGTAATTCTCGAATCCTGAGATTTAGGAGATTTCACTATTGTAAAAACAGATGAATAGTGTATATTTGTAAGATGTAAGCAGTGTAAAGAAAATGTTCCCTCCAAAGGTAATAAATTTTCTTATTTATAGGGTATGGGAGTGCATGTCCTTCCGTATGTCACTATAACCTAGAAGTTTGAACTGTGCAGTTTTGCGGCGTATCGTGATTTGGGCCTCTTGAAGGCCGCCAATTCTCTCAATTTTGAGGGGTGGTACGTGTCTTATCCTGATTTGTTCAATCTGAACGCCTCCTAGGGTGACACATGTCACGACCTGATTAGTCCATCTGTCTAGGGTATTTTGACCTAAATATTTCTCCTCACTACGTGACGTGGCAGGTCACGTGGCGCTTGTGACACATGTCAGTCATGCATAGGTGACAATTAATTTAACCGTTTCATCTTTCGAGTGAAATTATAGGGATGCCCCTGGATTTACCCCTCTACAAATAGATTTTTACCCCCTTTATTTTTGTACTTTTACGAAAAATTTTAGAGAGAGATTAAATTATGTGTTCATTTAGAGAAAAAAAAAGTTACTGCTGCCTGTAGGGAATATATCAAGCATCCCACACTCAAGCCCCGCTGTGATAATACACTTAAGCATGATGGCGTTCAAAGGGAAGGAAGCTAAAGCAAAAGAGTCGCCAACAAGTTTTAGCGTTCACCGGGTGAAGGTTACACCCCCTTCACGATCCATGAGATCGCTAACTCCATAGTGGTCTAGAACCATGATTGGATATTCAGGGATGAAGGTACAAATTCAACCTAAAAGAGATTGAACCTGTCCTTAATAGGCCTCTACTTTATTCTTCTCATATTCATGTGCGCTTTCTGACCAACATACAATTAATAGATTAAACCTAAACTTGTTTAATCTATGTTGGTTGAATATTAATGTACAAGCGAGCAAAACTATTATTTGTGATCACTTGAATTATAATCATATTAGCCTAAGCAAGATTATTAATTATCTTATTAAGCGTGATTATAA